AAAATCAAAGATTAAGAAGTTTGACGGATCAGACTTTGCCTACTGAAAGTCACAGATGAAGGACTATCTGTACTAGAAGGATATTTACCGTCCGTTGATGGGTAAAGCGAATGGAAAAAAGAAGGATGAGGCCGATGAGGACTGGGAATATTAGATCGAAAGGCTCTATGGCAGATCCGATTGTCGCTCGTAAAATCAGTCACACACAATATATTAAAGGAGAAGACAACGGTGGGGCTTATGGAAGCGTTCGTGAAGATGTACGAGCAATCGTCAGCTGCAAACAAGGTGCATCTTGTCAAAACTCTCTTTAACCTCAAGATGGCAGAAGGAGTTCCTTCACGATACATCTCAGTGAGTTCAACAAGATTGTTAATCAACTCTTCTCAGTCGACATCACATTTGATGACAAAGTGTAGGCCCTATTGATATTATCGCAGTTACCAGATAGTTGGGCAGATTACGTGAGCGTAATCAGCAACTCGGCAGGAAAGGTGAAGTTAAAGCTGAAAAGCTGAACGAGGTTGTTAGTATGATTCTATCTGAGGAGGTTAGAAGAAAATCACACGAATCAAAAGGTTCAAGTTCAGCGCTAAATCTCGATCAAAGAGGCTGAAGCCGAAATAAAGGTAACCGGAACATGAATCTATCAAAGTCGAAGAAGAAAATGTCGTACTCGAAGGTGAGGCCAATCAAACGGAAGTGTTGGAACTGCGATCAAGAGGGTCATATGTCTTCAGTCTGTAAAGAACCAAAGTAGGATACGAATGAGCAGGAGGTTCATATCGTGCAAGATGCCTTGATCCTTGCTATGGATAGTGATTTCGGTTCATGGGTTATTAATTTGGGAGCCTTATTTCACGCCACTGCTAATAGGAAGCTTCTTCAAAACTATGTAGTAGGGAACTTTGGAAAAGTATACTTAGGAGAAAATGAGCCCTGTAGTATTGTTGGAAGAGGTGACGTGCAAATATAGATGAAGGGCTCTAAGTGGAATCTGAAGAATGTTAGACATGTACTGAATCTGAAGAGGAATCTTGTTTCAGTTAGCCAGCTTGGAGCAGAAGGCTATGTTACGACATCTACCGGGGATTCGTAGAAAATCTCCAATAGTACTATGATGGTTGCCCATGGCAACAAGACCAGAATACTCTATCTAACTTCACATGCGAGTGACACCCTCGCAATTGCAACGGGCAAGGAGAGTGTAGATCTATGGCACAATAGGTTAGGATACATGAGCGAGAAGGGTATAAAGATCATACACTCTCAAGAAAAGTTAACCGACATCGATTCAGTTGAAGTTGGTGTTTCCGAAGACTGTATCTATGAGAAGAAGAAGAGGATCGGCTTTCAGAAGAGTGGAAGACCACCTAAAGCTCACAAGCTAGAGCTTGTTCATACAGATGTATGGGGTCCAGCTAGCATGTCTTCTCTTAGCGGTTCGACATACTATGTCATTTTTATCGACGATCACTTGAGGAAGGTGTGGGTATACTTCATGAAGCACAAGTCAGAGGTGTTTAGAATCTTTAAGAAGTGGAAAGCCATGGTCGAGAATGAGACAGATCTGAAAGTAAAGTGTCTAAGATCAGACAATGGTGGAGAATACGAGCTGGAGGAGTTCAAAAAGTTCTGTGCTCTAAATGTGATTCGTTTAGAGAGGACTACTCCAGGAATACCGTAATAGAATGATGTTATAGAGAGAATGAACAGAATATTAACAGAGTGTGCGAGGAGCATGTGTCTACATACAGGTCTGCCAAAAACATTTTAGGCGGACGTGGTGCATATAACAGCGTACTTAATTAATCATAGGCCTTCAGTCACACTAGACTTTGGAATTCCAGAGGAAGTTTGGAGTGGCAAGAAGGTTAATCTCTCACACTTGAGAGTCTTTGGTTACGTGGAATATGTTCATATCAATGACCATGTTAGAGACAAGCTAGAAGCTAAGTTACAGAAGTGTACATTCATTGGATACGACATTAATGAATTCAGATATCATCTTTAGGATTAGAAGAACTGGAAAATCAGAATGTTGTTAAGCTTAGTAGCTGCTAAAAATCTCTACATTGAACAATTAGATGTGAAGAATTCCTTTCCTCATGGTGACTTGGATGAAAAAATCTATACGAAGTAACCTGTTTGCTTCATTAAGGAAGGAAAGGAAGAGATGATGTGTAGGACCAAGAAGAGCTTATACGGTTTGAAATAGACACTAAGACAATGGTATAAGAAGTTTGATAACTTCATACTAAGTAATGGCTATAGAAGATGCAATTCAGATCATTGCTGCTACTTCAAAAGGTTCGAGTTTAGCTATATCGTGTTACTATTGTATGTTAATGACATGTTAGTTGCAAGACCGTGTTTAGAGGAGATAAACAAATTAAAGAAGAAATTGACAAAGGAGTTTGCTATGAAGGATCTGGGTGCAGCAAAACAGATTTTTGGGATGCGAATCAGTCGGGATGTGACTGAAGGGACGTTGAGGTTGAGTCAAACTGAATACATTGAGAAGGTACTTTAGAGATTCAACATGGAGAATGCTAAGCTCGTTAGCACGCCCCTTGAAAGTCAGTTTAGGTTATCTGAGGAGCAATCGCCCAAAATAAATATAGAGAAGGAGCACATGAGAAAAGTATCATATTCATCAGTCATTGGTAGTCTGATGTATACAATGGTTTGCACGAGGCCGTATATCACCCATGTAGTGGGAGTTGTGAACAGGTTTGCAAGCAACCCAGGGAAGCAACATTGGGAGGCCGTGAAGTGGATATTGCGCTACTTAAGAGGGACTATAGATATGCCACTGTGTTTTGGGAGAAAAGAGTTGGTAATATAGGGATACGTGAATACAGATTTCGCCGGTGATCATGATACGAGGAGAAGTACCACAGGGTATATTTACACCTTAGGGTCGACAGCAGTGAGTTGGATCTCACGTCTGCAGAAAATAGCGACATTGTCCATGACTAAGGCAAAGTATATCGCAGCGACTGAAGTCAGGAAGGAGATGCTTTGGTTAACTGGGTGTCTGGAAGAGTTGGGTCTGAAGCGGGGGAACGAAGTTCTTTATTATGATAGCCAGAGTGCTATACACCTTACCAAAACCCAGTATATCATGCCAGAACGAAGCACATTAACGTAAGTTACCATTTCATACTCTCACTGATAGAGGAAGAGAAGTTACTATTAGAGAAGATATTGGGGAGCCAAAATCCTACAGATATGTTAACTAAGTCGGTGATCATTGAGAAATTGGAGTTGTATGCAACTTCAGTTGGCTTTCATGTGTAGGAGATGAGGGTGGAGCCATACTATGAGAAAGATATTAAATTGAAGAAAGAGATTCTCCGGGTAGGAGAATGTGCTTGCTAAGTTAAAGAGAGCTTGTTGATGGAGGTTTGGTCTCCAAGTAGAAGATTGTTGGTTTCGGGTGTAGATCTAAACCTTAGAACAAGCATTCAAAGCAAATTTCTCTAAGTTAAGAAATCAGGCAAACTTGGAAGTTCATGCGAACTTAATAGCTTAGACAAACTTGATAGTTCAGGCGAACTTAGAAGTTCAAGCGAACCTGCAGTTCAGACGAGCTTGGGAAGTTCAGGCAAACTTAGAAGATCAGGCTTAATAGCTTAGGCAAACTTGATAGTTCAGACGAACTTGGAAGTTCAGGCGAACCTACAGTTTAGGCTAGCTTTGGAAGTTCAGGCGAACTTGGAAGATCAGGCAAGCTTTGGAGGTTCAGGCGAGCTCCAAGTACATGCGAGCTCCAAGTGCAGGTGAAGCAGTTCAGGTGAGCTTGACTTTGTTCAGGCAAACATAAGTCAACAGGAGAGCTTCGCAGTCAGGCGAACTCGTAGAAAACAGATTCCTAATCTGTTTTGACCTAGGGTTTCCCTATAATTAGGGAACTCTGGCCGCCACCTAAAACGAGAGTTTTCAGACTCTCCAGAGCGTTTTTTGCGGTGATGTTTGCAGTGCCTTGAGCGGCGAATTTTCAGAGAAAAATATCGCGTATTGAGAAATAAAAAGAGAGTTCTTTTTGAGTGATCTCAGGGAGTTTGAAATCATCTCTTGTAGGCTTTGTAATCTTCTTTAATATTAAAAGGAAATTTTTTATGTGGCTCCCGAGGACGAAGACAAGTTGTTGAACCTCGCTAAAATTTTAGTGTTCTCTCTTCTATTCTTTCCTTGTAAAGTTTTCTTTTATTTACTGTGACTTCTTCTTACCTTCTTTCAACACAAGATCTGAAGGGCATGTTCCGCGAGAGGGTTCATTTGACAGGTTGTCGATAGGATGAATCCTTAACAACAATTTCATGGAAGATTGGGACAGTCACAAGCTAAATGTGCATATATACATAATATTAATTTCTAGAAAGAAACGATCATATCTTCCAATCCAGAAGGTGGATTCTGACATATTATATATATAAATCACCTATTTCGACGAGACGAAGCAAACCGAATTGTTAGATTTTTGAAATCTCATGTATCACCAGTTATTAGCATAAATCAAAAAATAATTAATATTTAGTTTATTTTTTAGTAATAAAGTTAGAGTCTATTTAGATTAAGAAACAAATTCATGATTTTGATTCATGTTGGACTGATTTGTTTCCTCTATTATAGGGAGTCTTTTTAGGATAGGATTTGATACAATCTATTTTTTTTTGTATCTAGTCTTATTAGGAGTATATTTTGTTTTCTATTTAAGAGAAGTCATGTTACCTTAGAAGGATTAGATCACTTTTATCAATAAAATTCTCTTTTATGTTACTTCGTGAATCCGAATATTGTTCTTTATGGATTCAGAGAACACCCATTAGTGAATTCCGAGCTTTATCACTTCCGTACTGCGTTAAGTACGCCATTGAAATAGACGTTTTGGCTGTACAAGATCCATATGTCACATCCCCGCACTCGTAGATTCCGTTGAGCTTGTGTATTAAAACGAACAGGGACGGAATCTAATTTTTCAAAATTTACCGATCAACTTTAAAGGTAACACATAGTTGGAAAGTATAGAAGACGAAGTCTCTTATTGTTATTTAATAGAAGATGACTTCTTTCTTTCCCTTTTTATCGCCATTTTTATACAAAATGCAACAACAAAAGCAAGTACCCCAACAACACAAGAGAAATTTAACATCAAGATCTTATTAAACATGCCTTTTCATTGCTCTGAGCTTGATACCATGCTTGAATCCAAGGACTAGACCATACTCAAGTTCAAGAGGCGACCGCATCTTAGGAGAATGCCGAAAGATATAAGTACTATACAGTCGAATAATTGCTAGCTTGACCTCCTGTATCGCAAACTTTTGCCCAATGCAAGCTCGTGGGCCGAGACCAAATGGGATATGTGCATATGGATGCCTCTTCTTCTCTTCGTCGCAGTTTGGATTGAACCTTTCTGGTCGAAAAACATCTGGCTCAGGAAATTGCTTGGGGTCTTTGGCCAAAACTCCCAATGCTAGCCAAACCCAAGTTCCCTATATAAGAAAAGAGTTGTTTAGTTCTAAGCTTTGTGTATGCTTTGATAAGAGTTTTAGGTTGAGGTTTGTTTACCTTTGGGAGGAGATAGCCTCCAATTTCAACTTGTTTTGATGTATCTCTTGCAACTAACGGGGAAACGACGCAAAATCTCATTGATTCTTTTACCACCTGTATTATAACATCATTCCAGGCTTTTCTCAGAGAAGTATGTTTTGAATTTTCTAAGCAAACAAAATTAAATTCAATGGTGAAAACTATAAGATTTCATCAAAACTGTTTCACGGTCAAAAGATTTACAAGCCTTTGTGCCAGGTGAGAAACAAAAGAGTTCTCTTTAGAACTGGGACTGCAAATTCTGAAAATATTGACAAGATGATGTGAAGAAATAACTTCGAAAGCATAAATTACACAAAAACAAAGAAGAATAACTGTGTAAAATAAATTATGGATAACTACATTAAAAGGAACTTATGGTTGCTTTGTATAATTTATTAACTTCCTTGCGAAGGACAAACATATGTCAAATAAACTAGAATGTGTACTAGTGTGTCTTTGTATCTCTATCCCTGTGTAGAATAAACATATGTTACAGGTACTTTTACCTCGTATCTCAACAGACTTATAAAGTATATATAAACTTCTGTTACGAAGGAGCAAAATCATCCTCATATCTGGATGAACTCCCTTTTGCTCGTGACTACGGTTATTGAACTTTTGCTTATAATTCAAGCCATATCCTAGTAAAAAGAATCACAACAGGTATAATAAACACAAGACAATTACCTGATCAAGATAAGGAAATTTGCATTGCAGATCATCAGCAGTAGGAAACACATCCCCATTAAGAACACTATCAATCTCCTCAATCAACTTCTTCTCAACCTCAGGATGTTCAGAAACTAAATAAACCGTCATTGCCAAAGTAAAAGCACTAGTTTTTGTTCCAGCGAGGAGTTGCTCATAAGTAAGTGCTCGCACATAATCGTAACTGAAGAGTTTCTTACCAGATCCAGACTCTCTAGCATTCAACACCACAGCCAAGAAATCATTACAATCTTCTGTCTTCTCTTTCAATCTCTTCTCAATAATTGCGTCAATTTTCTCGCAGAGTTTCTGATTAGTATGATACATTCTATAATCAGCAGTTCCAGGTACTCTTTTAAGGATTTCTCTACATGGGCTCTGGAGGATAGGGACTAATAGCCCGAGTATTGTGGAGAAAGAGCTATTGAGGTCCATTTTGAGAGATTCAATGGAGTCAGAGTGTAACTTGAGGAAACCTGTGACGTTATCATCTTTAATTTGGTGTTCGTTGGAGAGTTCTTTAAGGAGGTTGAATTGGACTCCGAATGCAGTTTCTCCTATGATATCGATTGCCATTTTGATTGCAAGATCAGAGAAGGGGATATCTTCATCTTGTTTTGTTGAGGAGATGTTGTCTAAGAGAGAGTTGATGTGGGATTGCATGATGGGAAACAGAGTGGCAAGATGAGAAGGCTGATATAGGGAGATAATTGTGTTTCGCATCGATGACCACCTTGAATCTCTGAAACAAACAGAGACAAAAGAGATCAATGAATTTTTATTTTGCTCATCCATGAGGAAGTATTTGATATCTTGGAACACAGTAGAATATATGTTGTGGAATCTGACAGGTTTGAGTTTTAATCATACTTTAATTAGACAGTTCTTAAAAGATAAGAGTGGGGGGAATATATGAATAATCTCAACATAAACTTTGTTACAACAATCTATACATAAGAAATGAGAATTGTGCAATATCCTTAGTTATGTTTGTGTAAGGTACACTAGATATGACCCACCACCTTAGCTACCATGAGATATAAGTGACGAAGTTCTCTCAATGTGACTATCAGGGTGGGCCTCATCACTAGTCTATCTTTTTGCAGCAAAATGAGCTACCACATTATATCCATTATTTCCACATGCACGCACTCACACGCATATTAAAAAACAAACGAAAATATGAATGTATAAAATAGCCATTCTGCTAAAATCTTAACACAGGGAATCAAATAATCCTAGATTCCTAGGTATCTGAAACTTTTATAATTTAGTAAATGTTAATTAGAGGCATTAGCCGATTAACACCTTGATATATGTCAAAGTAGAATCGTGTATTGCTTGTAACTTGTATAATGTATACAATATGTATAAAAGGTAACATTATATTACAAAGAGAGGGTATAACTATTTATATATACCTATTAAAATAGATGGTAAACCGTCAGCACAAAAATGGATGATTCAAACTCTTCATATGATCAACATATTCCCAAATATATGGAAAAAATAATAATTTTACATGCATTGAAAATATGTAGTTGATACGTCTCGCGATCAGAAATAGATACACATGGATAGACTATATTAGTCTTAAAAGCAGATTATTTTAAGTTGATTGAGTTGTAGAATAAATGGTCTCATCATTTGCTGCGCCAAAGCAAATAGTGCTATCTTGAGGCAATTCAACAACTAAAAAACTTATGATCTAAAAAGTTGCCCTTTCAGTTTCTTCAAATGCTTAAGCAAGATTAGAGCTATGCCAGTTTTGTTATGCAGACCGAAAGAGTCCTGTTTTCAATTAAAGAGAACAATACCACAGCAACATATTTGTATATAAAGCCAAATCTCAGACGATTTGTATTTTTTTTTTAAGATTCTTGTTCTTGTTCTGTTACCTTGTGAGGAAAAGTCCCTGTTCATGTATTGGGGATCCAGAGGTAGGAGAACGGATGCTCCTGTTTTTTATATCCTTGAACTTTTTTATTCCCACCTCTCTGCACAACTCTGGGTCAGACACTATCACTAGCGGTTGCCTCCCGATGTGGAACCTAATGCCATTCACCACACAAAGAAACATGTCATAGCTATACTTCAACATCATTTTTCTTTTCTTTTTTTTTTTTTTGCATAAGGGAAATACAGGACATAAATATGAACTAAAATGCATCTGTAATTAAAAAGGAGTGGATTTTCTTTGTCCCATCAGAGACCGTGAAGCTGGAAAAACTCATTCAAGGACTCTTATGTCAAAACATTTATCCAAGTACAGAGAACCTGGCTGGATACTTTCTCCTCTCGCTCAGAATACATTTTATGAGACACGGATTAAACATAGCCCATACATAAGCCTGTCATCTGCAAACGTGGAAGTACAATTTTTTTTTTTTTTACCGACGCCTGCATGATTAACCTCAGTAAGGGCTGAGTATCAAAAATTACCTAAAGATTGGTCCGTACTCCTTAGCAAACACTCTCAGCACGTCCGGCCCATACTTGGCTAGCAAGGGAAGGTGACCCACAAGAAAAGTGGTGGGAGGTCCCGGGATCTTCATCACTCCCCAGTAGGGTGCATAGAAATAGACCAGGAACCCTACGACAAAGCTAACCGTGATCAGGACGCCAGGGCCCCATGCCCTTATTAAGGGTACTCCAATCTCCATCAACTCTTTCAACATGTTTCCCATAATAAGTTCCGTGTATAGAGAGAGAGAGAGAGAGAGAGAGAGAGTAGAAATTGGATGAGAATTTGTCATGGGTTGCAGTACAAATTTATAGAGGGGGTGGCTCTGGAGTTGGGGGAGTGGAGAAAGGATGCAACATGCATGAGTGGACTAGCAAAGGGCCATCGTGGGCTGACCACGATGGGATTGGCACCTAAAGATGCTCCCATTTTTAACGGCAGGTTCGGACCATCTTTCCCCCTCGTCTAATATGATAATGTCGCACGCGCGCGCGCACACACGCACACATCAAGAAAGAGTCCAGAACATAAGGATGGCCTACTAGAAGAAATGTCAATCGATAGACATCCTTCATGTTGGGGTTGCTCTCTGCATACGGCATACTAATGGTGTCGATGACTAGGTTCAAAGAAGCCAACTTATTGCAGAGTAAAAGAGAAGATTAAAATGAGCGGTGATCGGTAAAGTGCCCTATGGGTGGATTTAAGTATAGCTTAAGAGCACAAAAGTCCGCACTAACAGCTCGATTGACAGGATGTCGTCACTTCATTGCACAATATATACGCCTCACAGTAATTTCCACTGTCATTATTGTGGAATCTCGGATCTCCTTGCTTTACAGAATCACATCTCATACGTTTTTCGTACGAATTGAACCAGGTGTTGAGCTTTACTTGTCCTTCTTATATTCTCATTTTTTTGAGATAATAAAATGTGAAGCATAGACTTCTCAGCATTTCATTAAATGAAAAAAAAATAAACAGTTTCGACATGAGGGAACACAAACATTCATGAGAATTCACAGAAACTCAGGCGATATCTCATATTACGAATTTGCCATATTACAGGTGATAATAGTCAGAACAAAGTACACACTCAACATTCCCCTGATATTATATACAACTGACAGTTTGCCATATTCCACCTTGTTTCGTCTTATGGTTGTTTAAACTAAATTATTCCAACTCTCATTCCAGAGATCTTCACACAGTTAATATCAAACTGCATAAATGATGAACAATTCATGTCAATCAATTCATTTTGTCGGTTGTGCCCCTTGAATTGTTTTGCCACGAGTTAAGTTATGATTATTATCAATACGACCCTTATGTCCTTACTGGGGGTTTGTACTATCTGAATTCAAAGTTTCTAGACACCTTAGAGCAAACTCCAACCATTCGCTCCATTTTGGAGTCCCCACTAAGGCATATTCTAAAGAATATACTAAAATAGAGATTTGCAACTCCAATCATACTCCTCCATTTCCAACTCCATTTTAATTTCTATCCATTTAACAAATCTTTTACTTATTTCACAAATATATAAAAAATATAAACTAATAATTAAATAGGACAGAAGTGGAATATCTAAAAGTTAATGTGTTTTATTTCAGTGTAATTTTTAATGTATTATCATTTCTAATTACTTGTTTTGCAATTTTATAATTCGACATTAGTCTCATTTTGAAGGTATCGATGAGACATTTCCAATGATATTATTTTTATTAAAAAAATATTTAATATATTAATATATATATACATATTTTAAGTAAGTAAAAAAATAAGGGAAAATTGCTTGGGGGAACCAAATTAAGTTGGGTCATTCATCCCCACCCCAAGCCCAAAAAGCATAACCAAAAAGCCCTTTTATAAAAATATAAGTGTAACTAACCCCCAAACACTGTATAATCCCACTGCCCAATGAACTCATTCCCAAATTACCCTTCCCTTCCCAATTTAAAACCAAAAAAATACTCCACAATCCCTTTCCTCCTCCAGCAATTATTTTTGTGATGATCCAACCAATTTTTCCTAAAAAAATCATGTCGACCTCCGACCCCGATACCGAACCCGACCCGTCGCCGGTCCCCCAATCAATCATCGACGCCCTCTCAGTCGCCACCGTCGCCGACCCCTCCCTCCTTTGCGTCGTCTGCACTGATGCCCTCCCCCTCGTGTCCTCCGCCAGATCTGCATCGAGCCCTGGCTCCTCCGCCGCAACTCCTGCCCCCTCTGCCGCTCCCCGCTCCCTTAATTTCAC